GGGTGATTGGCACTGTCACATTAATGAAGAAAGATGATATATCCACATGAAAGTGCACAAGACCAAAATAAGAACTGGTTTTGGTGGTTTAAATGGGTTTCCACATTCAAAATATAGTAAGTACCATTTGTAAATCTCAATCCTGGATCTAATGTTCATATGGATTAAAGGGTTACTGGCATAGCTAACCCACATTTGGCTAAGAAACTAGCCCACTGATGCACACGTGTATCTGCCTGAATTTTGATGTATGACTTATTGCATGTGCTTTTCATCGTCTTAGAATGGTGACTTTCTCTAACAATGTGGAGCCAGCCAACGGCTTCCTGGTGCGCTACTTGCACAGGAAGCTGATGGAGTCAGAGGATGAGAAAAACTTGACCAACGAGGACCTGATCAGGGTGTTAGACTGGGTGCCCAAACTGTGGTATCATCTGCACACCTTCCTAGAGAAGCACAGCACGTCGGATTTCCTCATTGGTATGAAACACACTCTTATCGGGACAGGGCATCACTTTAGGGCGGAAGAGAGCTGCATTTTTATTTTGTAGGGAATATTGACTTGAATATTTCTTAGTGTGTCCTTTAATGTTCTTTCTCTCCTTGTGTCTCCTCAGGCCCTTGCTTTTTCCTGTCCTGTCCAGTCACGGTGGATGAGTTTCGATCGTGGTTCATCGATCTTTGGAACCACTCTATTATCCCCTACCTGCAAGAGGGAGCCAAGGACGGCATCAAGGTAAGAAACACAGCCAACAAATCCAGAAAATGGTCCCCAGCTAGCGTTAAATTCTTCCCTGGTGCTGGTGGCTTCTCTTTCACAGGAAATGTTGAGGTCTAATTTTACTGTAAGTGGTATGTTGTGACGCTTCAGGTCCACGGCCAGAAGGCGGTATGGGAGGACCCAGTCGAGTGGGTGAGGGGCACCCTGCCTTGGCCGTCTGCCCAGCAGGACCAAGCAAAGCTGTTCCACCTGCCTCCTCCCAGCATCGGCTCCAGCAGCCCTGGTCAGCCCCTCGAGGAGAGGCCTCACAAGGAGACTCCACCCAGCTCCATGGAATCTGATCCACTGGTAAGAGAGAATACTTCATGGTCCTTTCTTGTGATTTTTTTAATACTTCAAGCTGAAATGGATCTTTTAGGATTGCTGATTCTCGATTCTCTCTTCTTTGTTATAGATGGCAATGCTTTTGAAACTTCAAGAGGCTGCCAATTACATTGAATCCCCAGACAAAGAAGACCCTAGCCTGCCTAAACTTTGAACACTTAGCACTTCAATTTTTTTTTTTTGGTCCACTGTAATGACACAGTGCACATTCAGGAACAAATGAATCCTCAGAAATGGTTGTAGGGTGATTTAAACTGTCATTCCCGCAGTAGGTTAAAAGTGTAACTGGGTAATTATCATCATCTTAATGCATACAGTATTTTCAATAGACTGTTCACAAGTATTGAATGAGAAGCTATACTCTATAACTTTACTATGTGTTTGACTGGATGACATTCACTTTAGTTCACGTCCCTTTACCACCACGTTGGCCCTCAGTACTCTTAGATTGGTGCTAATAGATCAGTATGAAACTCATCATCTCAGCACTTAGACTTCAGGTGATTTCTGCAACAGTACACGCAGTCCATCCTGTTTTGCGCTCAAGTGTGTCATGGGATATGGAGTGCTTGTCAACAGGAGCTATCCTCAACTATGGATGCTCATTTTTGGAAAAGAGTATGACAGCATGACAGATGCTACTGTTTATCGCAAAGTTCTTTGGTACATATCTACTGTATAAGTCTTTGAAGGCCAAATCTTATACATATGCAATCCTAAACTTAAAAAACCCGAGCAGGTGAAACAAATGAAATGCCTTAAGAACAAAGACGTCAGTGTCACCTCAACTTCAGCAGATTATATTGGTGCTTTCATCATCATCCCATCTAAGACGGTCAGAAGTCAGTTATTTCTTCAATTCTCTACAGTATTTATTTCAATTATTCATCTTTTCTCTTTTTTTTACAATATGAAATTATATCATTTTACAGATTACATTTTTATTATATGTTTTCGCATTTTTTACACCTTCTTTATAATTTTTATGGCATATAAGCTGGAAAATTAAACTTGCTGTCATACTCTTTTGCATAAAACCAAACGTATTTATTAGTGATGTGATTTCATCACTTTGTCTCTGCACAGTACCATATTTTCCAAGCACTTAATTTAGTTTCATGAACTGCTTAATGTAAAACATATATATCAGGTGTTAGACAGACAGGGATACTATAACAAACACCCCTCTAATTAAACAGATTGAGCAAATGCTATTTGAATCCAATTCTGATTTTTTTTTTATATTACATTTATCTCGGAAAGACTACATTTGTTTTAAATCTTTACCCCCATATTCAGAGTAGTTATTGTATATATTATGTACATACAATCAGGCTACATCGCAGTTATTTTATCTATATTAGTTGGTGCAAATATCTAATATACTGAACCAAATACTGTACTTTTATCATGCATATTGACTGTCAAGTTAGGGGTTTAAGTTCAACTATGAATGTATAGAAAACACATATAAAACAACCTTTTAACAGAATCGGTTATGTAGTAGTTGCTTTTAAAGCAAGCCTTATCACAAAGCTCCACTGCAAAACACTTTTAACATTGGCTGAGTAGAGTGACTTTAAAGCTACCTATGCCCATTTCATTTGCAACAGTTCATGCGCTCCACAAACAAAATTAAAAGTCTCATTCTTAATGTCACTCATGCTTATTCTCATCATTTAGGTGCGTATGGTGCTCTTTAACAATGTCCCAAACTGTTTAAGTGTTGAATAAAGATCATGTAGGCTTTCAGGGTAGGTTAGCAAAGAGTTTTGTGTCATAGAACTGTCAAAAGCTAAAGAATTGTGAAATAGATCTGGAAGATAATTTCTGATATTTTTTAGGTTGTGTTGGTGAAGAAGTGTTGAACACATTATGTAAAGACAGTGAAGTCATGTGAGACATTGTATGGTGTGCACCCATGTTGATGTCGTATAGTATTCATGTCTGAGAACATTTTGGGTACACGACACATAATAAACCGATTATGGAGAGTATCTGTTGCACTGCAAGAGTAAAAGCAAAAGATTTAAACACTTTTTATGGTACTTTGTGTAGGTTTTTGTAAAGAAGATCCAATGGAGTAAATGGCAAAGCACATGGTTGTGCAAGTGGTGTGAAAATAATTCACCTGTTCATCCCAAGCTGTGTCATTGTTCAGGTGCTCAGACTAAACTTCACATGTACATAAATCCTGTAAATGAATGTCAGTCCACTTTTATGACAGCTTAATAAGAAAGTTTAACATTTTAAATAGTGTCTGAGCTGCTTATTGCTTCGTTATTGCACTTGGCTGATAACAAAACTTCAAGCTAATCCGCAGCTCTGATTGGTCACCCGTAAACTTAAAAAAATGAATGAATTAAAGACATCAATGAGCAAAAAATATGCCAAATGGACAGTAACTCTCACACTGGTCAGATGCCAATTGAGAATAATTTCAGTTATTGTAAATATTTCAGGTATTAGACAGTATTACCAGCCCCACCCTGGTCTGTTTCTGCAGGTTAACAAAAGCCATCAGCTCAAGTTTCTCATCTCATTCACTGGTTGTTGTGCCTGTTGCTCTGTAGTAGCTGTGATTTGTGTTTGCTTACTAGTGTATCAGGACTATGCAGCAACTTCTACTGGTGTTGGCAATCAGCAAATGTGTGAACTTCACAACAAACTCGGTGTGTTTTCATCTGGTCTGTCTTTGAGTTCTTAATTTGGACCAAATTGCATCACAGGATAAAAGTGGAAGCTTGTTTTTGAGCCTTAAAGAGAGGAGGATTTGTTTGGCGTTGCATTGAGAACAGGGTTCATAGGTGTAGTTAAAGAAATGAAGATGTTTCATGTGTTTTGTCCTTATGAATGGCAACAAAAGTACTGGACTTGTAAATGGTCAAATGACGATAAACAGACAGAAAAAAGATTAAAAATCAAATTATAAGCCTGAAATAGTTTGTAAGAATCAGCACTTCAGTGTTTTTGCGTAGATGATTTTAAGTAGAATCAAACCAGATAAAAAAGATATATATCTGATATCTTGGGCCAATACAGGTTGCTGAATAGTCATATTTTTGCGAAGCTTGTTGTGGACTAAACTAAGATTTAAAAAAAATGTTATGCGGTATCTAATGTCACTGACGTGCAAATGTTAAGGGTTTCTAAGTGTTGTAAATGCATGTAAACTTGCTGTGTGATGAGAAAAATGGTAACATTAATGTATTGTTTAGGAAAACCATTCTAGATAATGTTTTCCTTTTTAATACTCAGATATTTGATATTTCTTTTTCTTTTTTTTCTAAAGAATCCTTTGTAAAACTTAATTTCTCTATTTTGTACAGGACATCATTGTAAAGATTGTAAATAGGTCAGCATTCTGGATGCGGCAACAATCATTGAGAAGGGGGAAAAAATCATCCTTGAGAGAAAGGTATATTTCTTCAGAGTTGGGTCCAATACATGGATAAGGCATGTTTCTGAAGGCTTTCATCCACCTATCACTGTTGTTGGAATCAATAAAATACATGTTATATTTATTCTGTTGCTTCTTGTGTGTCAATTTGACCTGCTGATAAGAGCTATAACGTAATAGAGTAATGCATTTGCTTTAGGTAATCATATAGGCCCAATAGAAATGTTAAGAGTACTACAGTTATTTAAATAATGTGTAAAAGCATCAAGTCATTTTTCAGTACCATAAACATACTCATTATACTTCCAAATAACAGATAGTTGTATTATCGATATATTATTTATTTTCATTTAATTAGGCCATAGTCTATGTAGTGGAACATTTAATGATGCACACAAACAGACGCGGTGGTCTGAGTCATACATGGTGCCCAGTATCTATTACATGTTAGGGGGTGGTGCCTGAACCTGCTGAGCCCTATATAAGCCTGCCAACCCCGCAGAAATAACGGCATTGGATCCAGTTTTTAAGGACTTTACCGAGTTGGGAATTAGCTGCAACCGCCAACATGCCGTCCAAGCCTGCCCCAATCAAGAAGGCGGCTAACAAAGAACCAGCCAAGAAGCAGGAGGCGGCTCCAGAGCCGGCTCCTGAAGCCGCCCCAGCTGAAGCTGCCCCAGAGGCTGCCCCGGCTGAGGCCGAAGCTGCACCAGCTGAGGCGGCCCCTGCCGAGGGAGAGGCCCCTGCTGCCCCACCAGCTGAGGAGCCCAAACCACCCACCCCTCCACCCGCAGATGGTAATGCACCGAGCGCAGCGGCGACTATGCAATGAGTTACCCTCCATTATACCGCACACAGTCCACCTTCATTGTATTCCTCAGTGGATGAGCCTTGGATCAGTTGTTTAAACCTTTAATTAAAGCCAAAGTAGTCGGTTCATCTCATGGTAAGCACGCGGTAACCTTTACGCACGTGCGCCTTTGCGCACTAAATGTGAAGGTGCCGTAGGGAAGGTACAATAAAACGGAAACTGCATGTTAACTGCATAAACCGCCTGCTTGGACTCTTAGTTTCTTACTACCTCGTTCCTGAAAGTAAGTTGAAGTCACACTGGTGCGCTTTTTGCGCTTTAAGGGCGCTTTGCCTTTCTTCAGCAAAACTGTGTGATGTTAACACTTACAGTCGTTGCTAATATGCGTTTTTATAACCTACAACCGTGAAAGCTCCATTGTGACTCATTAAAAGCCAACAATAACAAACATAAACCTAAATTAGTTACCAAAAAGCTCCACTTGAACATGACTGATGTAGCGCATATTAACAACACCTGTTTTATTAAACGGGTTTTTTTTGTTTTCATTATTTCTAATATTTAACATAATTTTTTTTGGACATTGATTCAGCCATCTATCTTACATCTAATGTCTACATCAGCTGCTCCTGTTGCTGCGGACCAGCCCCCCTCCGATGATACCCTGAGAAGAGTATCTCAGTTCTTATTTT